TAGATGATCAGTTGATTCAGTGGTCTTGTTAGAAAGAGGGCGCATGGAAGGGATGTAGAAACCCCTACTATGAAGATGTTCATCAATTGGTAATTTATTATTCATTAACCTCCAAAATATCAATAGGTAACCTTGTTGTTTGTAAGTGAAATCCTCTTTAAGAGACAAGGTACCCTAACTTGAGGTGGGACAAATCAACTGGTCTCTTATCTTACTAGTAGGTAAGCAAATGCTACCAACTTTTTCTTCAAGGAATATGAAAAGATATTTGCAAGCAATAAGAAAATTTCAATTATTATTACGATTGAAGCCAACAATTTTGGCATGTAGGTTGATGTTCATGTGTTGCTCATTGTTCTGGTCCAAAAATTAATTAAAGGTTAAAAGAGTCCTTCCATAATTTTATTCTAGCCCCATCCCCTAGAAGCCAACAAGAATGATCATTGATTATGTTGATTTCAGACTTTACTCCATGCCAAATAGAAGAAGAGATATGATGTTTGATCATGCCACAAGGTTTAACCACCATGCCTTTAATGATGTAAGCCCACCCTTCCCCTGAATTAATATAAATGAGAGATCTTATGCCTAAGCTTCCATCGGTCTTAGGCTTGCAAACCTTTTTTCAAGAGACAATCACCATTTTCCTCTTGTTAACCACTCCACGCCATATAAAATTTCTTATTGCTATATCTATGGATTTTAAAATGGATATTGACTAAGAGTAAACAAATATGGAGCATGTTATCATGGCATGAATGAAAAATTGTACCAAGAGGGTTCTTACAGCAATAAAGAGCATAAAGGCCTTTCACACTGTAAATTTGATAATCATTCAGTCAACAATAGATTGCAGGTGAGTTGCTTTAACCTTACCCTTAAAAATAGGGGACCTAAGATATTTTAAAGGAAATGATCCTTTACTAAAACTAGTGATGTTCAAAATATGATTTAGCTTAGAGGTACTCAAGCTACCCGTAAGAATAGTGGATTTGGAAATACACAAGAAGATAGAGAATGAATTTCTCATTTCTTTTACTTCTCACAAAATTGTGTTTAGGAACAAATTCATTAAACTGAAAATACCATTTACGTGGACTTTATTTTAACCCATGCAAATATTTCTTTAAAAAAAACATATTTTACACTTGATCTCTACATAAAACATGCCATACACTTCATCAAGTTGCTCCATGTAAATTGTATCTTTAAGATCTCTAGTTGTTTTAACGTACATCTGTTACAACTCAAGATCATATTGATTCATCATTGTCATAAGTATCCTTATATAAAAGTATTTTACCACATGTGAAAATATTTCATTGTAATTGATCCCCTTCACCTTATTAAACCCTTTTTATACAAGCCTTACTTTAAACCTTGGTTCTTCAATTCTTGGAATGCCTCATTTCTTCTTAAATATTCACTAGCATCTAACATCCCTCTATTTCTTAGGTAGTCTCACAAGTTCTCATATATTGTTATTTATCAGTGAACATAACTAATCATTCATTGCCTTTATTTGTCTTAGGCTATTTTTGCTTTCAAACTCATCCTTGAAGGTATTTGGTTATGAATATTGCAACACTTCAACCGCAATTAAAGTATAAAAATATAAGATTATCATAACCATATCCCTGAGGTGGTACAATCTCCTTTCTAACTATATCATTGACCAACTATTAACTAGAAGCCATTGTTGGTTGCCCCTCTTTAGTACTAAAATTATTAGTCCTGGCTTCCTTCTCATATCTAGTCTCACTAGTAGGAATTTCCACCTCAAACTAAGTCTTCCCCGTCATAGTTTATGTTTCTTCCACTTTAAATTCGTTGCATTTCATCCCCATACAAGTCTCACCAAAAGTAACACCCATAATTATGATAAATTTTGATCCTTTAGGATCCATCTTCCACGACTTTTAACCTTTCCTACCTTCTTGGTAATAAATAAAGATACGCTTCACATCCATATCATCAACTTTATCTAGCCTTATATGCATAAACACCAAACCTTCAAAAACCTTCAAATTAAATTAGCCCACCAATTTATCGCTCAAAACCTCAATATGTTTCTTGAAGTCTATTCATGTGAATGGACATCTATTGTTAGGTAAGTTATTGTAGCAACAACTTCACCTAAGAAATTCTTTGGTAGCTTAGCTCCTAATAACACGCACCTTACGTTCTCCAAAATGATCTTATTCATGCATTCAACTATGCCATTTTTTTAGGTGTGTCAACAACAACTCTATGCCTCTTCATACTTTGTTACATGCTGTGAGATATTGGATCAAACTCTAGTATGGTCGAAGTCTGTTCGCGAGTAATGCGTGTTGTAGTTGAAGTTTATTCTAACATGCATTATTCAATATTGCTAGGTTTGTTAGCATGTTGAATTGGATCTTACTTGTAAGCTCAATTGTTTAAGTTAGCTTGTAATGGATAATTGTTAAAAAAAAACCATTAGGTTAGTGTGCTAGTTTTCTTATAAATATCATGCTATTTTCTCATCTTGTATAAGAAAAAATAGGAAGATAAAATCCTAATTCAAGAGAGAGAGGTTATTTGTTATTCTTGTATACTTGTAATCTTGTTTGATAGAAAAAGGAAAGAATAGCCATTTATAACCAACCCTTGTTGTTTCTTCTCGTTGTTTTTCCTTGTTTTCTTTATTAACCCTAACCCTTGTGTGTTTCTTGAATATAAAGAAATCATTTATATTTTATTTTAAGGAATTCTATTCACAACACATGCAAAACTCATTAAATTGTTGCGAATCAAAATCCATGTCATTTTCATTTCTTAACACATTCATATTAGTTCTCAACTAATTTCTTAGAAGAGTATGCCATTTTTAAAACTATTCAAATGTGTCACTTTTATTTTTCAAAATATAAACTCACACTCTTCTAGAAAAATCATCACTAATAGTGTTTATATAGAAACCACTCCCATGAGTTGTCACCCTTCTTGGATACCCATAGATCGGAATGAACATACTACTATGTGTTGTTTTCCTAGTATGAAATGATCACATATTTCTATTTTATTCAATTTCTTATTTCCTATCATACTTGTTTCTCTAACTTAAGCAAACTTCTTTCACTGACATGCCTTAATCACAAATGGATAATTTTTTTTTGCTTAAGCTCGACAACACACCTCACATTGTGTAGAAGAAACTCACGACCACCAAATATTTTAACTACAACCGTAACAATATTATGAAATTTGCAAAGCCTTATTGTTACCAAGTCGAACGACTCCATCTTCTTTCAACTTCAATGTCTCAAAGAATTGTTTCCCTGGGAACATGTGATAAGAGCTTCCTTAGTTAATAACCAAACTCTTTTCTATCTCCAAACTTGTCACCACTAATGCACCAATACCTTATAGTCATCATCATATGCGACAACCATAATCTGAATAAATCACTCATATTCCCTCTCGAGACAATCCTTCTTGATGTGGCTGGTTTTGTGACAAGTGAAAATTTTCAACTTTAACTTATTAAAACCTTTTAGATTTGGACTTTGACCTGAATCTCTTTCCCTTTTGGTTTCTTCCACTTTTACCCATTCCTTTCGAGACATTCAAACTTTCACCATTATCGTTAACCTTTTAAACTTTCAGCTTTGATTGCTCTTTGGACTTTACAACCACTGAACTTCACCCAAGTTGATAGTAATTTCCTTACCATATAGAAATACATCGTTGAAATTCTCAAAGGATTTAAGCAATACGTTAAACACGAGTATAACTTTGTCATTATTATAAACCTTCACCTTAATTTTTTACAAGTCATTAATGATCTTGTAAAGTTATGCTAATTACTCCATAATAGATTTTCTCTCTACCATTCAAAATGAATAAAGTTGTTGTGTTAGACATAATCTACTTGTTGATGATATAGTCATATAAAATGATTCAAGTTTGACTCATATCACATATGCGATCTTCGCCTTGACGACTTTTCTTAAAAAGTTATATTCAAAACACAAAATAATAACGACCATGACCTTATATGTTGGGTCATTACAAGGAGTATTCATATTGGATCAAGAGCAACACATAAGTGAAAGAGACATGGGATATTTACCCAAAATTTTAAGATGATAGGTATATAAGTTCTCTCAATTATAAGGTGTTCAATCTCCATTTTTTTAAATAATGTGAAACTTTCAACTCGTAGTTTTATATAACATTATCCACCCTTTCAGTTTTCTATATTGGAAAAAAGGGTGATGTATTTATAATGTAAATTTATTTTACACTATTAACCAATGACGACCATGCATTCAGTCAAGTCATACTGAAAATTTTAAATTAATTATATGACATGGCAGGATAATATTATTTCTATTTGACGATAGTATAAAATAATTTTATACTGTCAGTGCATAATAATTAAACTCTTATATATTTGTGTTATTATAATCGTTCTCATTATTAAATCTATACCTATATATGAAGGTAAAACATAATTTTGGTATAATCTTTTTTTCTTTCAAATATATATTATTTTCAATTTTTATTTTAAATCTTAATTTTTCTTTTATAAATAGTACTTATGTGATTATTTATTAATTTTTATATTATTAGTTATACAATAATTTTTATTAAACTATTATTATTACTTTTTATATGATTTTTATTTAAATTAAAAAATATTATTTATATTTTTATATGTGCGTGTTAAAATAGCGGAGATATGTAAAATATAAATGATATTATAATGTCACCGTCTCACGGTTTCTTTCTGGATTGAATAAAGGAACGGTTAAACCGAATTTGTTTAAGAAAGCAACAGTTTAAAGAAAGTTCATGAGAGTGATATCAACATGAAAGATGAGAAATCCACGTGTCTCCTCTCATCGGTTACTTTACTCCTCTATAAATGTTCTTGGCATAATCCCATTTCACCAATCATCAAATTCTCGCCAAAACAATTAAAACAAAATCACATAACTTTCATTTTCAAAAACCCGTATCACGCAATAATGGCTTCGCGCGTTGGCATCACTAATACCTCTTCTCCTACTTATTTAAACTCTTCACGTTTTCTATCTCCTTCTCAATTTTCCAATTCCTCTTTCCAACCCCAAAACGCTGCTTCTATCATGCCTAACAACAAATCCGTTCTTGTTACCGGTGGAGCCGGTTACATCGGTACCCACACCGTTCTTCAACTTTTGCTCGCCGGTTTTAAAACCGTCGTTGTTGATAATTTTGATAATTCCTCTCCAGTTGCAATCCATAGAGTCAAAGAACTCGCTGCTCAATTTGGGAATAATCTCAACTTTCACAAGGTTAGTTACACTAATTTAGTGGATTTAGGTTTACCAATTTCTTCTTGCTGATTCGAATTATGCAATTACTACTTTTTATTTTATTTGTGTAATAATTGGGATTACTGTGGGTTCCAAAATTTAATTATTGGAATAACTGCTTTTGTTTCTTTCAAATTCATTTCAAAAGTTTATGATGAATTTTTTTATTGGATGTTATTATTGGAGTTCGGTTTGTTTTGTTGATAGATCCAAATATCTAATTTTTAATTTTACAAATTTGAGATTTTATGTATTTTCTTGTAAATTGAGAAACAAAGTGTTTATCTGTTCAGTAAAGCGTGAATTGTTTCAGATTATCTACAACTTTGATTTTGATACATTAAGTGAAATTAGTTTACACAATCATATGCCAAATTAAGTGAAATTAGTTTATTGTCTAAATCACTTTTATTTTCAAAATACAGTTTTTTCATTATGGTGTTGACCGAGAGTTTTATTTATATTTTGGCCACTGCAGGTGGATCTCCGGGATAGGGCTGCATTAGAGCAAATTTTTGCTTCCACAAAGTAAGGGTTATGACACATGTTTTTTTTTGTTTTTTGTTTCTATTTTTGTGTGCAGTACTATAGGGCCATTTCTTAAAGATTTTAAATAACGTGATTAAATTTATTCAAAACTATTTTTTTATACATTAAAAGAGTATTAAGAAATGTAATTTTAACATTCAGTATTTTTTTTATAATTATTATTAGAGATTTTAATATAAAAGTTTCATTTTTTAAAATAAGATAGAAATATGTTTTTTGAAATAAAATGAATTTTTCACTATTGATGTTTTTTTTTTTTTGGAAAAATTCTGTTAATTTTTTTTAACAAGATGATGAAAAACTTTAAAATTCATTTTAAAAAAAAGATGTAACAAAGAGGCCCATAGTATGACTGTTGTTTATGTAAAATGACAATGAAAAAATTTGTTCCTTCCTTTTGGTACCTCATGTAATAGTTGAACTTGATCATTGATGTTATAAGTTATAACTGTTTCTCATATCATTTTAATCTTTTATTGTAGGTTTGATGCAGTCATACATTTTGCTGGAATGAAAGCAGTCGGTGAAAGTGTGCAGAAACCGTTACTCTACTACAACAACAACTTGATTGGAACAATCACTCTATTGGAAGTCATGGCTGCTCATGGATGCAAGAAGGTAGGTTCCTTCTTGTTTTTTGTCTTGCATGATAAACTTTAGGTGCATGGAGGGAACTGTTTTTACATGATGAGATAGACTTCTATATCAGTGCTATGTATTTTTCCTGTTCTTACTGCTTGGGATACAATATACACATGTAACCAATTTAGTTGCCTAAATGATGGGGGAGATTGGGTATGCATATTTTTCATTTGTTCTGCTTTTTTCTCATCTCACTGATTTTGTATTTATTTGAATGATTTCAGCTTGTGTTCTCATCTTCGGCCACTGTATATGGTTGGCCAAAGGAGGTTCCATGTACAGAAGAGTTCCCTCTGTCAGCGGCAAACCCATATGGACGAACCAAGGTATGATTAGCAAACTATTTAGAGAATTTGTAGGATGTTGAAACTGGTTTGGATTTAAAATCTCTTGTACAAGACATCATTTTGAAGTTGATGAATAATTTAAGGAGGATTCCTTCAAACTCTCATTATCTTCTGCTTGGTTTAATGAATTTTTATTTTTATTAGAAGCAAAGAAGATCTTGATATTAATTTTAATTTAATGTTTTTCTTGGAATATTGCAATGATATCTGATGAGATGTTTCTCTTTCAGCTTACCATTGAAGAAATATGCCGTGATGTCCATCGTGCTGACCCAGATTGGAAAATAATATTATTGAGATACTTCAACCCAGTTGGTGCGCACCCTAGTGGTTATATTGGGGAGGATCCTCGTGGTATTCCCAACAACCTCATGCCATTTATTCAGCAAGTAGCGGTTGGAAGACGGCCTGCACTGACAGTGTTTGGAAATGATTATAATACAGTTGATGGAACTGGGGTATGTTAAATACTTCCTCTGCTAAATTACTTACCGTTCAGTTATTTCTTGTGCACAATACTCTTACTCATCCCATTTGCATTGTCCTGTTAGAAATTTTTCTTGAAAAAACTGCCTGTCCTCATTGCATGGGTTCTATTGAGTGCATGCATTTATTTCTCGTTCTGAAGATTTACCTTTGGTTTCTTAATGAATCTTAATGGATGGTTCTTACCTTATTCACAGGTTCGGGATTACATTCATGTTGTTGATTTAGCAGATGGGCACATTGCTGCATTGCTTAAACTTGAAGAAGCTGGTATAGGTATTATTCCTAACTTATCATTATCTTATCTCCTAATCCTTAACATGTGTTGTTATTGGGAAATTTTGAGGCAGTGGTAAAGTGATACATTTCAAGTACTGAAACTTGATGTCTTTATTTACAGGTTGTGAGGTTTATAACTTGGGGACTGGAAAGGGAACATCAGTTTTGGAGATGGTTAGAGCTTTTGAACAGGCATCTGGAAAGGTATAGTTTTGAGCATCTAGAAACAAATCATGTATAATTTTGAGCTTTGTAAATTGGATGTATAATAACTCCCATAATTATATATGTTTTCAGAAAATTCCACTTGTGAAGGCTGGCCGTAGACCTGGTGATGCTGAAATTGTTTATGCATCAACAGCAAAAGCTGAAAGAGAACTTAAGTGGAAGTAAGTTGATAATTTGATTTCATTTCAAATGGTTAGTGATAAATGTTTCATGAAATTTACAATTGTCTGTTATTGAACATTTTCACAATCTGATGTGGCAGGGCAAAATATGGAGTTGATGAAATGTGCCGTGATCAATGGAATTGGGCTAGCAAAAACCCTTACGGCTATGGATCTCCAGATGCCACAGATTAACCTTGATAGTTACTAAATATACCATAGAAGTTATTTATTATCTTTGGGTTCTTTTCTGAACTCTTACACACCAATCACCATAGGTCCTGTGATTTTAGTTTTTAGTTTTCTTTTTCTTTCTGAAGCTCTTTGTCTTATAGTTATATAAAGGAGACAAGTACTTGTACTGTTGTGATTTCTAGTTACAGGTAATTAAGTAGTGATTTACATTACCACAATAATTTACAGGTTATATAGGTCACTGTAGGTTATCCTTACATGAAGGCTTTTTGTTTTGTAAATTTAAATATAATTTATCTATATATGATATGATGACTAAAGGTACTCTCACCATATTATGTCAGATTAAGCATTTGATTTAGCAGTGAATGAAAGTTGAGTTAAAAAAAGGCACTGTGTGAAAGTTTGACTTAATTCTCTACTGTTCGATTCTGCTTGTCACCAACTCTTTGACCGTTTATGATGATAACAAAGCCTTTAATCAGAAATGTTTTGTTAAACAAACTTTTTGGTTTAAACTTGTTAAGAGCAGTTTCTTTAACTTAATTTTTAAAATTATTAAATTAAGTTACATAATTATTTATTTAAATAAGATTAATATCTCATTCCTTTGTGATGCTTTTGGGCTTATTTGGTGGAGCAAGGGAAAGTTCAATATTGAAATTGTTTTAAGGATTTGAAGATCCATTACTATCTTTTTAAATATCTCAAGAAAGTAGTCTTAAAGATTAAATTCAGGAAAGAAAGTCACAAATAAGTCTTTGGATTCCCATGTAACACATACAATTCTGGACGGAGGAACTAGCTTAATTTTTCATGAAATAATAACTAAAATCAATTAACATCTCAAGCACCACAAATTCCTCCATCATCTAACACTATTGTGGCTACATATGAAGAAAAAAAAACAATTGAAATCAATTATGAATTCCTTCACACAAGAAACAGAATCAATTTCAAACTTAAGGAATGAGCAACAAGAATTATTTGAATTCTTAAAAATGTGAAATTGTGCATGATAAAATACAGAGAGAGTTAGGTACTGAATATTGAATTTCAGCTTCTGATATTTATTAAATGATTTCCGTTAGTTGTTATAATAGGTGAAGATTATATTTATAGAGCTTAGAAAATATGAGTTTGTAGCCAATTTACTGATTGACGCATAGTTACAAGTTACAAGGTGTAACCGAATTTGTTTAGAAGAATAATCATGTTCATGTGTGTGGGTCAGGCCTATTTCTTTAATATTCTCCTGCAAGTTCAATTGAGAGTGGTTAACAAACAGTGAGTTTGGATCTGAAGTCTGAACTACTCAAACTTGGTAGGAGGGATGGCCTTGGTCATAATGTCTGATGAAGACAACAAATATGCATCACCGAGGTTACTTTTGAAGCACTTTCTCTTTGACAAAAAAATATATCCAATTCTATTGAAGCACAACGTAGTGAGCAAGAGCAATGATGCTCATATTGTCACTAAGGGTGAGAGGTGTGGTGAACTTGATTCGCAACTCAGAGCAGAGACTGCAACCGAACAAGTTCTGAGGTGGTACTTTGCTTCTGTGTTGGATCTAGAGATTACCAGATGTTTCTTACTTTATTTAAATTCATTTTGAGGCAAAAGGAAATATGTCAAACTTTACTAATTCAAGTGGAGAACAAAATGACATTTACAATGAAAAGTATTCTACTCAATTCACAATACTTCAATGTCAAACCATGAATAATTATGGTTAAGGAAATGTTATTAACTCACTAAACCATTAATTTTGAGAAATTTTGATGGAGTCACAAGAATAATTTTGAAAATTCACATTTTTTAATGAATTGCGCAATGATAATTTATCTTTAAAAGTATATATATGGGTTTGACTTACAAATTTAATTGCAATTTTGATTTTTCTATTTTTTTTTATTTATAAAAAATTATGTTTTTCTGGTCTTTTTAAGTTTTATTTTAAATTTTAGTTTCCAGCAATATTTGAAAATACTTTTTTTAATGATGTGTGAATGTCAAATTATAATTAATTTTTTCTATTCATAATTTATTAAAAACAGATTTTAAAATTTAGAATATAAAGCAAATCTGTAGACTCGGAACACATCAAAGTTTATTCGAATACATATTCAAACCACTATATACTTTTTTCTCTGTCCCAACCTCAGTCCTAACCTTTTCCCAATCATGGCGGCGTAGCCTGATTGAAAACCATAAACCCAACCCTTCACTTCCCCGTTCCTCAGTTTCCCAGCAAACTCCAATGGCTACTGCACTCGCTCTCAGATTCAGATCCAATCTAACCCGCACCGCCTCCCTCTTCATCTCCTCTCTCCATCCACCACAATTCAAACCCTCTCCGCCACTCTTCTCTTCCACCCCCCTCGATTCCACCTCCTGGTTATCCCTCTCGACCCACCGCTTCCTATCCACATCACGCCGCCAACCTACATCCCGCCCCAAAAAAACCATCGACATCGCCGCACGCGCTCGGCAGCTCCAAGCCAAGCGTCTATGGACCTACGGTCTCTCATTCGCGACGTTCGCCGGTTTCATCGTCGTCGTTCTAAACAACTTCCAGGATCAATTAGTCTTCTACGTCACTCCAACTGACGCAATAGAGAAATTCCGAACTAACCCTACCAAAGCCAAATTTCGATTAGGCGGTTTGGTTCTCGAGGGAAGCGTCGTGTATCCGTCTTCTTCTCCGGGTGTCGAATTCGTGATCACGGATCTGATTACCGATATTGTAGTTCGCCATGAAGGCTCTTTGCCAGATTTGTTCAGGGAAGGACACTCTGTTGTTGCTGAAGGGTTTGTGAAGCCTTTCACGGATGAGATTAAAAAAGACAATTCCTTGAAGAAAGTTTCCGCCAAGGCTAGGAGTGGAGAGTATTATTTTTCTGCTACTGAAGTTCTTGCAAAGCATGATGAGAAGTATATGCCTAAAGAGGTTGCTGCGTCCATTGAGAAGAATAAAAAGATTCTTGAGGAAGCTAATGCTGTGTCTGAGGTGAAACCCAACATTGCATCATAGTTTGATGGTACTGCTCAAATATGTTTTATAGGGGTTTGGATTAGATATTATTTAACTATACTGGGAAAATTTTTTGATATAATAATTAGGATGAACACAATGCTAAAAAGAACAGGATAGTGGAAAAGAGATAAAAAAATTTTGATTGTTTATGAGGCTATTGTTATATGTCTTGTTGTTGTAATGCATTATTTTGCTTAATAAGTATTTACAGGTGATTAATGAATGCTAACTTTTGATTAATTGCTAAATATTCAAAAAGGAAGTATGTTTGAGCTCAGTGTTATTAAATGGAAGCCATGATGCCGCCATGGCATGGCAGATTTTTGGGCAACTGCCATAAGCTGCAATGGCGTGTTAATAATGCGGATTTTTGGCCTTTTGCCATCGACAACTCTATTTGAGCATGAATTTAGGTTTAAAGTCGTATTATGCATGGTTGTCATGATCGGGATCTTGCATAAGATTGTTACTAAGATCTGAAGATCCTATCTAATTATTTTTGTGAGATTGAGAAGGGGTAACGAGATCTTTAAACATGAGATCGTAACAAAAATTGTAAGATATTACTTAAACTAAAAACATTACTATATATTTGAAGTTTTTACATGATACTTTGGTAGGCAAGTGTATTCTAGGGAAAATGGCCTCCGCCGAACCGTAATTGTTGCGCCTCGGCATCTTGTTATTCTTCTAGACTTGTAATGATGGTGGCCAGAAAACGGCTGGTCGTGGCCGGAACTGACCAAGATTGCACATAATCAATATTTTTTTTCAATTTGGCTACAACACATGATTCTACTTAAAATCAGGATCGTTGGGGGTGAGTGAGATTGCAAAATCTCAAGATTTTAAGATCTAGATTGAGATCTTGACAACCTTGGTGTTATGTAAGTTCCCGTGCTAGTATTGTGGACATGTGACTTGTTAAAACTGATAATTGCTTTGAAATCTTTAGCATTGCCTGTTAGACACAGTGTTGTCTCAGAAGTCTGTCCTATTCTGCACATATAATTAGAGTCTGCTTCTCAAGCAGCTTTTGAATTTTGATTGCGAAACTCAAACTGTGTAATTTTTGGTATCATAATGTTAGTTGAAATAATGTATAGTTACATAAGCCAATGTTACATCAACCTTGAACTTAATCTGATGATTCTAAGCAGTTGCGTTGTGGAATCTTTTTTATTTCTTTTGCTCGATAAACTTGGAAGCCATTGGTAGCTTAAACCAAATATGGTTTGAGTTATGGCAATGTTTATACATAAAAAAGATCCTGAGTTAAGATTTGCAACTCCTAGAATGTATTTCACTAATGCTTAGAATATAGGGCATTTTTTAGTAGGATTTGGGTTGTTGCTGTTGCAGGAGTATATACAGAACATAACCTTTATTGTATGCAGGAGAAAAATAGGGGGATGGGAGTAGTTGAGATAAGTGATACAACATTTTAATTGGTGTGAACATTTGTCAGTGTTGGCTCAGTGACGCTGCCAGAGTTCTAAGGTGCAAGGTGGGAAAGGTTCCGTTCTTGCATTTAGGGATTCCGATTGGCGTTAATCCCATATTTGAGAAGACATGAGAATCGTTCATGGATTTAGTGAAAGAAAGATTATCAAATTGGAAACATAAGAACTTATTAATTGTCAGTAAAGTGGTTGTTTTAAAATCTGTCTTGTCTGCTATTCTGATCTATTTCTTTTTCTTTTTCAAAGCTCTTACAGGTATCATCTCTAAAATCGAATTTATCTTTAAAAACTTCTTTTGGGGAGGGACCGAAAATGGGAGGAAAGTTAATTGGATCAAATGTGAGTCTATTTGTACACCATTAGAAGCAGGAGGGTTGGGCGTGAGATTTCAATAGATCTCTTTTAGGCAAATGGGCTTGGAGAATTTCTAAGGAAAATAATAGCCTTTGGATTAAGATCTTAAGGGAGAGATATGGCGGTAGTGAGGGTTTATCTAGAATATCAGATTCGTATAGTTCGCCATGGTGGAAAGACATGTAATGTAGATTTAGGCGAGTTTGGAAATATGGGGGAATATTCTGTCACGGAGATATACAAAACATTGAGGTTATTAGGCAGGTAGAAGACAAATTTGGATTGGAAAGCAGTTTAGCAAAAGTCGGTCCCTCTTATAGTGTTATGCCTAATTTGGAGGCTCTTTCATAACAGATTCCCAGCTAAAAATAATTTAGTTAGAAGGGGTATGTTAGATCAAGAGAATATTTCATGTGTCGGAGGTTGCGGTGAAGAAGAGTCCGTTAATCATCTATTTTTTGAGTGCCCCAATTTTGCAGGTACTTGGATTAGGCTTATCAAGTGGCTAGGCGTATCCTTCGTTCTCCTCAGAGACAGCTGGGGTCATCTCAAGCAGTTCGAAACTATTTTAGGGAGTGGCAGAAAGTTATCCAACAAGATTAGGGTGGTTTGGTTCGCATGCATATGCATTTGGAAGGCAAGAAACAACATTGTATTCAAGAATAAAAATGAATCGACTAGATTTTCGAAAATGTCAAAAGGCTTTCATGGAACTGGTTGAGAGACAAACATAAGTTTCTTGGTTGTTACCTATTGCAATGACACTTAAATCCTAGGATTTTACTTGAGTAAGAGTCAGCGCTTAGGGCATGATTCAAGTTTATTTGAGTGGCTGATGGTACTTTGTTTTGTCAAGTATAATAGTAGCATAAGTTTTCTTCAGAAAGTCTAGGGGTGGTACGGATCTGTATATTCCAATTTGGAGTTGTAGGAGGCTCAGTCGTCTGCACCAGTTGTGAGGCGATGATTTTTCTTGCCATATTGTATATATGTTGTTATCATCGTAAGGCGTTGTTCCTAGTAACATGCTATCAGTTGTGGTTGGATCATGTGGATTGAGTTTCATCAGGAGGGGTGGAAGACTGAGTTTCGAAGAGTCAGAGTCAGAGTCAGTCTTATCTGGGGTCTGGAGGTTTTTGTTTTGCCGGGCTTAAGTTCTTGCGTGCGGTGGATTTTTCGACTGGATTGTTCTAGTTTTTGGTCCGGATTTGCGAGCTTTGCGTGATGTAACACCCTTCTAAACCCCACGGAAAATAAGCATAATCAAAGTAAAATTAACATGCATTCACAAAGGGTGTCACACATATACTTTCAAATTACTTAAAAACCACCTATCATGCTCAATAACACTGAAATAAATAATTATACTTTACAAGAATTCATTTTTGCATGTAACAGCGGATTCATTTATATCAAAAAAATTTATAAGAGAAATATTTGCATTTATCACATAAATCACATCACTTAGGCACTGAGACCAACATCACAAAATACATATGAAACATAACCCAAACGATCCCAGTGTTACATGACCAGAGCACGACTCGACCCAATAAATAAATCTCTAAACAGCTACGCCAATAGTGACCGCGCAACTACAAGCAGGACTACACTTTGATACCTGCATGATGTCATGAAGGACATCATTCCAGCAGAAGGGTGAAAAATATTATCATAATAACAATGCATATAATCATATATATAAATGCACAAACACATAATACATATATTCCACATTTTCTCACCACAACACATTGTAAACGTTATATATGACACAACATACGTTTACCTAATTAAGCAGATTCATCAATTCTCATAAACACACACAACATGTTTATTCCACCAATTCAAATAAACATCTATATTCATGTTTATTTCACCAATGCATCATATAAAGATGATAATGCAACTCATAGAGACCGACTCACGACTCTATGCAGATGCAAATGCGGTACCGACTCATTCAGCAGGTTCAATTGAAGAACCAAAGGAACCATCGCTCGTTACCGAAGTAACTCCCCGTCGGGTCTATGATGTTCACCCATCGCTCACACCCCACATGGGGACACGATGTTTCAGGATTGCTCACACCCCACAAGGGCACACAATCGTTCTGCAGATTCTCCACGGAATCAAAAATAAACTATCGCTCACACCCCACAAGGGCACACGATCGTTTCTGCAGATCCTCCACGAGATCAAAAATAAACCATCGCTCACACCCCACAAGGGCACACGGGGTTTCTGCAGATCCTCCACGGGATCAAGAATAAACCTTGCTCACACCCCACAAGGGCACACGAGGTTTCTGCAAATCCTCCACGGGATCAAGACACAAGAATGCAATCATGATGCTACACACGCACAATGACTCCACACACTCTTGAAATGCACCCGTATACATAAAAATATACAATTACGCATTACACACCACACAAGTATACAATTATACACATAATTGCCAAACGGTCACATCACACACTTTCATATAACAATCACATACACATACCATATGACTCATACAAACTCAACAACTCTCACAAATCCCCACTTGAATTATGGGTACATCGCTTATACCCCACCAGGAACAACTCCACAGTTATTCTACCCCGGTGATTCACTACACTAGGAACGACACCTTGTCATTCTACCCCAGTGAGTAAGAATCTTGCATGTTTACATATTCTCAACATCATTATCATATTACCAAGCAATGCACATATATCATACATATATTCTCATGCATACTTCACACATTATCACATTCATCATGCATTCATGTTTAATTCAAACAATGCATATAATTGCCAAAAGGCCATATTACACAATCTAGGATTCACGCCATAAGGCCACCCACAACATGTCTCATCTTAATAATGCACAAACTATTCACGTCATATAAGGATTAACATCATTGAACCAAACAATTAACTATTGGATGGAACACGCAAGAAAACAACATGTTGTCACACTCGCTACCCTGTTCGCCCAGCGAGCTCCTAGCGAGTGCTCGCTACCTGTTCGCCTAGCGAACAAGCTCGCAAAGGCAAACAGATGCCACTGACTTGATTCGCTACCCCACTCGCCACAGCGAATGCTCGCTACCCCCTTCGCTACCAGCGAAGAACACCCAAAACCATTCTGCCCAAGTCTAGAACCGTTCGCTACTGGCTCGCCACA